AAACAGGGAATATTTCTAAAATGGTAATGCAGTGCAGTAGGATGTGAGGTCTGCTCATTAATACTGTGACCAGACAGTCCAATAATATACTGTATTTGTATTTAATTGCCACTTTTTTTTCTTTTTTATCCTTAACTCAGATCTACAAAATCTGTTAAACATTTAAAACCCACTAAAACCACTTAGAATAATAAAGGATGGTGGATAAGGCCACTTACATTTTTATGAACATTTATACAGAGGCAGCACTGTATGACAAAGTGTCGCCTGTAAAGTCACTGTAAAGCGAATGTATGCTGCCGTTATTGGTCATTCTTGTCTTTGGCTCCAAAAAAGTGCCAGATTTTACCCGTATTTTAAAACAAAACAGTCCACTACTGTTCACATTTGGCTGCATTTTCACAGTAATTTATAAACAATGTATTTTTACGCACCAGCCATTACCGGGACAAGTATGTTTCAGCAGAATGAAAGCATTGGAGCGTTTTGTTCTACATAGGCACTCTCACTCAAATCTCTTCTGTGTGTACATTCTGCTTCCACGGCCATCCGTTCACGTTGCTCACAAACACCGAGCTGAAAGGGCATATCAGAGCAGCATCTGAATTTGCATGCTAGGTAATGTGTTCTTCACACACAGAGAGATGGGAGGCAGTTATGCTTATCATTAATATTTCAATACTGCAGTTATCGGTCTGCGCCCCCAGCCCTCAAGGTTTATCTGTGTGATGGCATATTTTAGGAACTGAGACCATCAATATTCATGGCGGGAGAGTATTATGCAGTTTATTATGAGCATCCTTTTGCCTGCTGCAGGTTCCATATCGAGGTCCACTATCACCCCCATATGAGCCCTCAGTCTCCAGGTGGCGTATGCTTTATTTTTGTAGCCGCTGTGTAGCATCTCTGCAGGACTGCAGTGTGCTGATTTTGACTTGTATAGCGACTGGGGAGTTAATCAGTCGGGCTTTAGATTTATAGATTCTCTGGTTGAAACAATATAGTTCAGAGGTGTTTGTTTTAACTTTGATGAATAGGAAATAAATTAGATTTGTCACATAGAATGCACAATGCTGCACATGTTTTGTGATTACATGAGCTGACAACCCCAAGTTGTCGCCTCTCATGTCTCTGGCACTCTGTCCCTACATTGTGAAAAATGTTTTTTATTGTTCCAGTGATTAACTGTAATTATTTTAAAAATCTCCTGCTGTTTATCGGATGTTTTGTTAAAATATAGATAACTAGTAAAAAAAAAAAAAGAAAAAACAAAAACAAAAAAATAGCTCTTTTACAACGTTTGATCACAAAATGTAAACCACTTTTACTGTATTTCAATCAACAACAAAAACAGTTTTGTAGATACTTGCAGCTATTTAAAGAAAAAAATATGTGTATCGTAAATATTTTTTTAAACTCTTAGTTTCTAGAATTTCCCTATTTTGTTAAATTTATAGATAATATATAATAAATCACAGAAAAAGTGTTAATTTACATGTTGACTTAGAAATAAAAAGGAGTCAACCCACATAATTTCCCAAATACTGCAATTTTCAAAATATTCTTATATTATTTTACAACGTGTGAATATTAAATTATGCTGTTTTATTATATTAAAATCAGAAAAATATCTTTATTTTAGATACATTTGCCATTAATTTTTTACTGTTGAAATTTCCATCTTTATAATATTTCCCTGTTTTCTTTTCTTTTCTTTTTTTTAATTAGATTTTTTGTTAAAAAAAACAAAAAAACAAAAACAAAACAAACTCCATCGAGGTAGCCAGATATTGGATTTTAAAACTTGATTTTATATCTTTAATTTCTGTATTTTGTTTACTTATTTATTTAATTTTGTATTATAAGTTAAATGTGATTCGCTTTTAGACCTCTAAGCCTCCCCTGAAAGTTACAGCTTCATTTATTTTTTTATTTTTTTTTCAAAGGCATTGCCATGGGTGTTGTTTGCCACATTTGTGACCTCTCAGTAATAAAGTCAGTGTCTGAGGCCAAGAGGCCACCTGAACCTCGGGGCAGCAGGTCTTTGCTGATGGGCTTGTCTGAGGAACTCTCGTCTACTCTCTGATGTCGGTATTCAGGCTCCTCTGTGGCTCTTCTTGTCTGGATCAGAGAGTCAGAACATCAGGCTCAGCAGCAGCAATCATCCTGCTCACCTTCTGCTGCTGAATAATCACCCATACACCATTAAGGGAAGAACTGGGGAGCTTGGCCACCATCAAGCAAGAAATTAAATATTTACAAGACTGCTTTGGCATTGATAGGAAATATTGAACAGACTGGTGGAACATCTTTCCGAGGGCAAATATTCCTCTTGTTTATGCTTGCACAGCATTGTGAAAGATGTCAGCTTTTCTCTGTAGCTCCAATTACCTAAACAAGAGTCAAATTTAAGCATCCATTTATGCTGTTTTTCCTCTTTTCTTCCTCTCCTCTGTAGTTCCTGTGTTTGAAGAACATCCGGACATTTCTCAAGGTGTGCCACGACAAGTTTGGGCTGCGCAACAGCGAACTGTTCGACCCTTTCGACCTTTTCGACGTCAGAGACTTCGGCAAGGTGAGTCAAACGTTATGCATATGGCTGGTTGGATGTTCTGCTTTTGAGTCTCCAAAATCCGCTGAACTTGAACTGTGAACCGCTCGAACACAGCGGCGGAGACATGATGCTGCTTGTTTTCCTGGTAATATCATTCAGAGCTATGTCATATTTACGAGGTATATTTGTTATGATAAGATCTTGATAGACGGGTTGTCTTTTTGTAGTTTCATGACTCTAAACTTTGACATGATATATATATATATTTTTATTTTGCCCTCATTACAATGGAAGAAGCATGTGCATAGGCTTGTGTGGGTGCATCTACAGTACCGCACAGCATGCCCATGTGCTCTACACAAGGTTAAAGGTAGTTCAAAGTCTAATCTGTCAGTTACATTAACTGTCAGTGTGGAGCTAAGAGCTCCGATGAGCATGTGGTGCAACACTTCAGGGTCAGCGATCTCCTCTCATGTCATTGAGTAAGTAGAATTAAATCCAACTCTCCGTCCTGAGTGCAGCTACAGTACAGCGTGGATGTGTGTGTTGGCTCAGCAGTAAAGGTGGCTGACTCATGCACTTGCACATCGTATGAACTTTATGGAGAGTTTTTATGGGATATTAAAGTGGATTTTTGTATTTATTAAACGGGCCACTACCCACAAAGGTCTTTCCCAAACTTTATCTAGAGGGACATTAGAGACGTGGAGTCTGAGTGGGTTGTGATGAAAGCTTTTGTCGGAGGAGTGGCTGCTAATGCGGAGTCCATACATCCAGAGTAGACCTACAGGTGTTTTTTTTTGCATTGAAAGAACCCCTTTAGGTAGTTTAGTATCTCATCAGGATTCCTCAAGGATGTCTTCCATCAGAGATAGTCTGGGCACGTCTCCTACCAGCTGGACTATCCTGACATAGACCCTGCACACTCAGAAGGGATTACATAGTCCACCTGGTCTGGGGATGCCTCGGGATACCCCCCAGCTGCTAGACGTATCTGGGGAGAGGCACATCTGGTTGCGTTCTTCAGCTTGCTTTCTGGCTAAGTGGTGGAAAATGGATGGATGGATAGAAAGAAATATGTCTTTTGTTCCTGCCGATCAGGCACAACATTAAAACCACCTGCCTAATAGGGTGTAGGTTCCCCATGTGCTGCCAAAACAGCTCTGACCCACTGGGGCATGGAGACAAGAGCGATGGAGGTGTTTTGTGGTGTTTGGTACCCGGATGTCTCAGTGGACCAGGCTTGTTCTGGTGCAGACGGTTGATGATTTGATTGGCATCTGGGGATTTGGGGCGTCTGGTTCCAAACTTATCGTGTTCCTCGAGTTGTTCCCAAGCAGTTTTTGCTTTGTGATAGTGTCCTGCTGCTGGAGGCCATTGTTGTTGATACTGGACGGTGCACTTGTTCTGCAACTGCAGCTTGTGTAGGTGGGTGGTGTGCATCTAAGGAACATCCACATGCCAGGACCCATTATCAGTGTTATTTACTTCACACGTCAGTGCTTTTTAATATTGTGCCTGATCAGCATAGCTACAGGTTTGTGGTTTTACATGTTGGATACGTACCTTAAGTCGGTAGCATGTACAAAAACAGCTGGGTGTTTTCAGCATCTCACTAAATAAGAGGTTTCATGCTTGTTACCTCTTTTCTACCTCATGTGTCTGGAAAACAGAACCGAGTGTTGGACGCTGGGGGGAAGGGATTGACGGGTAATCCATGATCGGCATACCCCTGTTGGCTTCTGTTTCTGAAAATGAATTGTTTGTCCTGACTTTCTAATCCCTTTGGCTGCATTGTGTGTGGCCACAGACAGAGGAGTAGGGTGAGAGGTGGGGAGTTAGCGTCTTTCTAGGCTAGCAGGCTGTTAAAACAAGCAGCGGGGATAGCATGATGTCATTAAATTGATGATGACAGCTGATGCCATTGTGTCAGGGCCGGTGCGGTGGGAATATTAATACTGTGGCTTTTGAGTTGATTGAACATGCAGTATTTGTGCTAAAGCGCAGGGATTACCGTGCAGAGGTGAGATATGAGTGAACTGTATTATACATCCTGTGATTGATTACAATGAGGATGTATTTGTGGAAGCTTCATCTGCTCATTTATCTAACATATCTAATCTAACGCAACACATCCACTCTCTCTGCCATGAGCTGTGCAGGCGGCAAAAAAAAAAAAGAAATGAGAGAGAAAAGATGAGAGAGAAGAAAAAGGAGACAAGGACTCATTTGGCAGTTTGTAGATAAACCACAAGACGATGTCTGAGAGTCAATGAGCTTGCAGCGAACGGTATTAAAATCCAACAGCAGTCAGAATCAATCACATAGGCCCTCCATATGTCAATTTAGAAATTGCTTTTGTATGGTCTCAGCGGTGGCGGGCTTGTCTCTCCATTGATTTTCCATTAAGGCCAAACATCACATTATAATATATTGAATTGAGTAGATCCCTACTAATGTGGCATACATTTAAATAGTGAGAATGCCTCATAAATGGAAGATAAAGGGAACTGTTTCATTCCTGCAGTTCGTCTCTTCAGTCTTCTTCTTTTTTTTTCGCGGCTCGATCGCTGGATGTGCTGTTTCCTCTTTTGTTACCTTAACACAAAAGTGCCTTTGTGCGCACATCCGATAGCAAACAATGGGAATTATAACTTCCGTCATATATATCATAGTCGGGTATCGAGCATCTCCTCTTTCCATATCATTCTTTTATCGCGCTTCTTTTCATTTTACATCAAGGAGGGGAAAAAAAGAAGCTTAGTAACAGAGTATGGACTAGAATTTTTTCTGAGAAGCCAATCTGTGGCTCTTGTGCAGATTTTTCATGAAAAAGCCTCATAGTGCATATGATCAACCTTTGTTTCTATGTACAATTGCTGGCAAAAATCTAGTGATGGAACTTTAAACTTTTCAGTGTGTCCTGGTTGGGACAGGCAATACCATAAACTAAAAAAATTACAGACACAGAACGAATAAAATAGGGTGTACAGAAAGTATAAGGGTGCTTTACAGTATCCCAAAATCACATAAATACTGTATATTTCACTAGTGATCAATGACAACGATCCAGCAATGCGAGTCAGTCATAACATTTAGACCTGAATGTGTTCGTTTAAGAACTCCCACATAGTTTATTTGAATATATTTGGTGATTTACTCAACCTGATTCCAAGAAAAAGGGGATGGCGTACTGAAACAACAACAACTCATTTGGCTGATATAGATCCATAGATTTGAAGGAAGCAGACAAAGAATAGCTTTATAAATACAAGCAAGCCAATGATTAAGCCTGTGGATGGACTAGGCTTACTTGATCAGATAATTTGCGGTTGTTAGGCAGGAATTTAAGATTTGTAACAAGCCTTAGTGCTCCATGGTAGTTAGTATCTTATGCATGTAAGCAGCGGAGGCATCATCATGATCAAGAACAGGCATAAAAGTGGGGGTCGCAAGAATCCTTTGGGCCTTAAAGAATGGGCAAGACCTAATGCTGTGATCAAAACCTAATTTCAACTTTGTGAATTGTGCAGTTACTTGCTTACCAACTAATTGCTACATGTGACGTGTAAAATCCTAGATATTTGTGTTGAAATTCACAATTGATCAATAGTGATAGTGTCATTGACTACAGTCCTGTTGAAAGCTACATGTGTGGTCCAATCCTCCAAGGGCCCACCAGCTGACAGTTTTTTGCCTCACTGCACCCAAAGGTTTTCTTATCCTGTATTGTGATTGGAATGCGATTGGCATATCAAGTTTTCTGGAGCCAGGTTTGACACATTCATGGTTTAAACTGTTTAAAAATGGAACAGCTCTGCAGTTACACATAACGTGTGTCCAATGTGTTCCAATTATCAGGTTAGGGATGAACACCTGAAGACATGGTTGCAAAGTCGGTGTTGTTTCCTCAAATGTTTAACCTCTTAAAAGAGTGTAAGATGGTGGAACCCTTAGTGGGTTCTTGGTGACCCTAATGTATATTTTTAAAACGAGTGGGGGGTTTGCAATAATGCACCCCAAGGAATTAGAGAGAACGATGAGATAAGAACTGAATTAACACAGAGAAGCTGTGGCAAGAGAAGAAATGGAGTCTGTATTTTGATAGAAGCTGCTTCTATAAACATTAATCAGCCCCTATCCACCTTTCATAGCTCCACATTGGCTGCCAGGGGACCGAGAGTTCATCTCCTCTGGCCTCTGGCCGCCATCTCTCCTTCTAATGATGCCTTTTCCCAGGTCACAGGCAAAAGGGAGAGCTGGGCCAACAGGGCCCGATGCTGATAAAAAGTAATTGCACCTTCCGAACCTCCCCCATAGCCTTTCCAGTGGGGCTGGTATGGAAACACATGGAGCACATAACCTGCTCGATGTCCTCTACTGATTTTTATTTTCACTACTTAACTCATTTCATCCAGAAACACATTATGCCACATACTGCTTCAGCCTCAAGTCCCCTCTTTTGGTTTTCTGTTGCTGGAGTAAACTAACTGTGTGGTTTCATGCGCATATCATCGCACTTCTCTTCTTCGCACCCGAACCCATCCCCCATCATTAGAAATTCATTATGACATCATTAAACCAATGAAATACAGCTTATTACAGTAGACCCCAGAGAACGCTTTTATTTAAACACCTCCCTCTATCCGAACCCAGCCGCCTCGTTTCCTTTCTCCCAACCTATTTTAATTAGCCACCAAAGGAACATTGCTGTCATTTAAATGAACATGGCAATCAGTTTATTTGGCTGTTGCCATGATTAGCATAATTAGCCTGCACCTGTTAACCATCTATCAACAGTTTGGTAATTTTCCGTCTGTGACTGGAGAGCAGTGAAGGAAGGAGGCTTTCTGACAGATTTGCCTTCTTCATTAAAGGGAATAGCGTCATTTATTTGAAATGCAGACAGAGTGGCTTGTATCAATTTCGAGCTCATCTAAACAGCCTTGGAGTCATGACTGAGTGACTGGTGAAGTGTTGGAGCCATCAGCGTGATGCTCATCGACTTGATAGTACAGTGT